ACTACTACTACTACTACTACTTCCGTTGCTGCTGCTACTACTACTACTTCTTCTACTACTACTTCTACTACTACTACTACTTCTGCTGCTGCTGCTGCTGCTGCTACTACTACTGCTACTACTACTACTACTACTACTACTACTACTACTAACTACTAGCAGGAGCCCCTCAGCTCTTAAACTTGACTGACTTCCTACTCTCTCAGCCCCAAATCCGGCAGGACACCAGTATTTTCAGCCCGGACTTTCAGATGCAGCTAGGGCCGAAGTTCCTGGACTTGGCGGGCCTCACCCAACTCGAAAGGCGGGTTCGGGTCTCCAGAGTGGGAGGGATTGAGAGCGTGGGGTCTCGGCTCTGGAGGAATTCAGGCTCCCAATTTCGCGTTTTGGGAAGTTTGCAGACATGGAGGTATGAGACCTGTATGGAGCTGCTCCAGCCTGAGCGGGCATGCGATTGGTGGAGCTGGTTTCGTCTCTTGGCACGTGGTCCCGGATCTTTATCTTGCCCTCCGCATCAAACTGCACCAAGACCCTCAAATTAGGGCCAGTGTTGCGAACTGCAGCTCAGCAGCCGGAAGCCGTGTCAAGCATCCCCGGTTTGCCCAAGGCTGCAAAACAACCTATTAAAGTGGCAAGGCTGCTTCATGCAGCTTGATGTCCAAGCCTAGGCATCTCCGGCGTGACAAGTACCATGCTGGACAAATACCACGACAACGACGTGGCACGCCAGCGCATTTGGGACACCCACTGCAGGTGGTCCAGCCAGTATCCGCACTACTGCGAGCAGGAGAACTTCGAAGTTGTCATGAAGGCGGATGTTCGTAGGCTGTCAGTTGTCAGTAGATTGCAGCCCAGACTTGCGATTGGTTACAGCAGGTGGCTGATTCTACCCGGGTAGTTGAAGCCTGAAGAGTCGATGTGATTGGTCCTGGCTCTTGGTCTTGTCTTCCGCGCAGGCTCAGGACCGAAGGACTCCTGGCATCAAGCTCCTGGTGGAGGTGCTGCCAAGATGCGATACCTTTCTCCCGTGTCAAACCCTCAACACAAAAATCCCTGGAAGGTCTTGGAACATGATTATCCGGGTCTTGAGGTGAGGCGAGAAGCCTGGCCTTTTCAAATTTCCCGCCAGAGCTCTCGCATGGCCGTCAATCAGATGATGTGAAGAGCAGGGGTTTATTTGGTCAACCGATTGTGAGCATGGACACCTTTTGATATCGCTACCCATGTTGTCCTGCTGCGATCAAGCTTACCAGTACTTGGTTACGCGCTACTTCGTTCAGGCCAGATGCTGCTTGATAAATATGTTATCAAGTTCCCCGTTCTTCTGTACTACTCCTGACTTCCATACGATCGATGACTCGTACATCAGAAATCAGGTGTTTGACCATGCACACGACATTCATTCTAAAAGATCGTGCAGTAACCAACGGTAAGGTGCACGTACTAGTTGCTAGTGGCTCAGTAGCTTTACGCGAATAATGGTAGTAGCAAGTAGTAGTAGTAGTAGTAGTAGTAGTAGTAGTAGTAGTAGTAGTAGAGTAGTAGGAGTAGTAGTAGTACAGTAGTAGTAGTAGTAGTAGTAGTAGTAGTAGTAGTCATCGTCGCAGGTAGTCGTTGTAGTGGTGGCAACGGTGGGGCCACCGTCGTAGCAGGAGGAGTAGTACTAGGAGCGGGAGCAAAGGACTCGTGGTGGTGGTATTGGTACTGGTAGGGCGGTAGCAGTAGTAGGTATAGCAGCAGCAGCAGAGGTGGTGGTAGTAGTAGTAGTAGTAGTAGTAGTAGTAGCAGCAGCAGTAGCAATAGCAGTAGCAGTAGCAGTAGCAGTAGTAGTAGCAGCAGCAGTAGCATAAGTAGTAGCAGGAGCAGCAGGAGTACTAGTAGTAGTAGTAGTAGTAGTAGTAGTAGTAGTAGTACTAGTAGTAGTAGTAGTAGTAGTAGTAGTAGTAGTTGTTGTTGTAGAAGCAGTAGCAGTAGCAGTAGTAGAGGTGGTGGTGGCAGTGGTATTGGTAGTTGTAGCAGCAGCAGTACATAGCAGTAGCAGTAATAGTAGTAGCAGTAGTAGTAGTAGTAGTAGCAGCAGCAGCAGTACCGATAGCAGCAGCAGCGGTAACGGAAGCAGCGCCACAATTTGGCATGCTTTTAATGCTTCATGTTGTTCTCGGACATGCATTTCAATAAATAGGCAAATAAACTAAGTTATATATATATATATATATGTGTGTGTGTGTGTGTGTATATGTGTATAAACATATTTCACATGATCGCAATGGATGCTAACCGTTCAACTGTATTACGCTTTGGGCAGTAGGTGGTCATACTTAGTATGACGGCACTCGGAACTTCAAACACAACGGCCATCACGTTCGAGCCTACAGGAGGCGAGCATTAGTTAGAAAGTGCCCGAGCGGCGTTTCCTTGAGCAATGTTCGACATGACAAACGCCATATCAGAACCTTCGTGATGTTAGTTTATTGCTCATTCAGTATCTCTTAAATCGACACTGTGATTTCACCATCGTCGCCATAATCAACACCAGTATCGTCTCAGTTTTTAATGGCAGCGCGCTTGCTTCTTGCCAGTTACTCGTATCTTTGCTTACTAATCGATTGCTGGGTGCCATAGCATAGCCGGGCATCAACTCGAGCTATGGTTATTCCTGACCTGTGGCGTGCGCAACACGAAACGGAAGTGGTTTCGGGGTTGGGTTCATGGTGTCTCGACCTACACTAACCCTAAGTTGAGACATGCCGGTCCAGCTAGGCGAGGTTTGCGGAGACCCCAACCATCATCATGAAAGAGCCGCAGGTTAGGAAGGGGGTGTTTCACTGTCAGCCGAAAGCGGCATGGGGCATGGGGACGAAAAGTCGCAATCAAAAGAAGCCGGAGCTTGTGTCGAAGTTTTTACGATGTGAGAGCCGAGTCTTCAGTAATGTTGGCTTCACAACTGGATAAGGCCGACCTTCGCCCGCGTGAGTTTTTGTCATTGTTCTGGAAACCCAGCTTTTCATCAGAATGCACTCCCAACGTGTGACTCCACTACGCTGGAGACCATGCCTTTGAAGTGTAGCAAGCAGCATATCAATAGCTGCCACGGGCGGCATCCTGCATTACAACGTGCAAAATGCTTTGTCGAAGCAACATAGAAGTGTAAAGTTGTGCCAGAACATGCCAGAACCGAAACCCTTGCAACAGCGCCAGTTCGGTCGAACGCATGGTCATGTCGGGATTTCTTGGCATCTTGACGAATGAGCTACGGGTCAGGGTTTAGGGCAAGCCATCTCCCTGTATACTTGCTCAGCAAGGCTTTGGAAGGAGCCTTGGAAGGAGCATCGGAAGGCAGTCGCCGGGCCTGGTTCTGATGTGGAGATGACTTGAGGGATGAAGGCTTTCGCTCTAGTTGTTAGATTGCGGTCCAGGGTTCAGGTGTCAGGCTCGTGTGTGAGTACGGCCTGAGATTGAACACAAAGTGTTACCGGTAACCGGGTGGTCTTCAAAGATCCAGACGCAAAAAGGGCCTGAGATTTCAGGTTTCAAGCATTTCACGGTCTCGGAAGTTAACTATGTTCAGTTGACTATGCACTGGGTATGGTTCTTGGAGCGTTACTAGATGCGATGATGCCCCGAACTGTATCCTTGAGAAAGGCATTAAAAACGCGGTGTTGAGCTTGAGATTGGTGTGCTGTGATAGTTCGCGCCATAAGCCCTCAAAGAACTCCGCGATCTCCGGCATTTCCCGAACCTGAGTTAGAGCCGACCCAGACTCGAGCTCTGAACCCTGCTTCGACACGCCTCAGCCAAGCAGGCTTCTCAAGAACCCGAACCCCATGTGCAATGAGCTCACATTTCCAAGCTACAGCTTCCCAAGTCGTTCGAAATCTCTCTCGAAGTCGTTTTTAGCCCGGCCAAGGTAGTGACAGCCTTTGCGCTGGCGTCGTGCAGGTGCGAAGCTGTAGTGGTTCTTGAACTCGAAGCTTCCCATGCCTGCGGCAAACGTATGACATTGTTGTCGTGTTTACTGAGGTATTGATTCGACAGGCCGGATACAATACTCTTCAAGCCTCATGGTCCTGTAGATGCATCGGGAACAACTCCTTCTCATGTCGGAGATTTCACCCTTTGTACTCCAACAATTTGTTCCGTTTGCAACGTCATAGGACTGTGCCAATGGCATCATGGAGCTTGAAGCCGGTTACTGTGCTTGGGAAGATTCGGTCTAGCGCATGCAGAGAAATCGCAATACATAACATATGATTTTGCAAGCTTTGCTATGCTCTTCGCCCAACACAGATGCTGGAATGAGACACGTATCCTCGATCCCCAAGCCCTGACTGCTTGACGCGAAAACGGCAACAACCCGCCGTGGCCCTTAATGTGAACCTGGCGCACTCAAAAAGCTGTCATGGAGGGCCCAAGGATTGCTTTCAAACAGAACCCTGACGAGCCCTGGTTCGCTTAACCCTCAATGCCCTTGCCCATCAGCCGCCTCGACCGTGACTCAGGAGCAAGTGCTTGCAAGGAAGGTCATGTTGGTATATGTTGGTCCTACCCCGGGTCCTCTGCTTCTTTCGGTACACGAAGAGGGAATCAAAATCAGCGCCGACCAAATGAAACACTTCTGAAAGCCTTGGCCCTGCGGCCGGCCAGTCTCTCCTGGAAGCGGCCGACTGGCCGGCAAGCCACTGCCTGACTCCGCACCGGGTGCGCAGCGGCGTTCCCTGGCCATAGTCGTAAGTTTATTATTATTTGCCATCAGTATGGCTGTTCTGTTATTGGAAGGCTCGCGTGTGCTCATACCCATGCTAACAGGGGCACGGCAAAGGAATTCGAGTCAGTTCTTCTAAGCCTGGCACCTTTCAACCTCACCTCCCGTTCAACTCGAGGCGCCAGTCATCCATTGGAGGTGCACGGGCGTGGGCTGTCCAAGAGTGGTGTGCGCTGAGATCTGGTACGAGCTTCTAACTGTCGAACTGATTTTCCGAGGCTTTGAAGCCTTGACGAAAGCCAAGCACTTCCACAGGCTGGTACCCCGCGATGGGGCCATCGGCGCTCTTGATCAGGACGAGGTGTCAAACCCGATGGACTAAACGAGCTACGGTTCAGGGTTGGGTTTTGGGAAGGAGGTTCTAGATCCAAGCACGGCCTCCAGCGACTCCAATGTAGCAAGCATCCCTACATAATTCCGTTGCTGCCGGACGGCTCCATTCATACTGATGGCTTATGAAAATGCTGTTCACAAAAGCCCCAAATCTGTTTGTGGAGGATCTTGTTGAGACAGCGCCATAGTCGGTCGAAGGCGATCACCCCCAGGCTCGAAGCACTACACAGGCAGATCTCCATATCTCCAGAAGCCAGGTCTCGAGACCCTGCGCAACACTTAGCCCCACCCTGCGACTTTGCATGCAAAAGCCTGGCTCAAACCAGCAGCCATCCGCCAGCATGTTGAATGTCGGAAGCCATACAGTTGCAACCCAATCTTCGACAGGAAAGGCACGCAGACTCGAATCTTCGTTCGCTGGCGTGCGGCCACTCAGCCGCAAGCTGATGCGACAGGGAGGGAAGTGACATGTCATCCTGTGAATCATCAAAAGGGCATGGCGGGCATGGGCGTTTGTAGTAGTGAGTGGGAGCAGTGGTCCTAGGATGATGAGTAGCACGGGCCACTACGGCACTACTTAATAGTATCTTGTAGGGCTGGATCCAGAAAAAAGAAGACAAAAGGTAGGAGCAGAAAGAGAAGGTGGCACCGCATGAACTGTACCAGTAGCAAACAAAGGCATGTGCGCTGGAACGGGTGCTGCTGTCGTACCTGCAAGTGTTCGAACAATGCTGCAGCAGATCTTCCTGTGGCCATGTTTTGTATCCTTAGTCTACGCAGCATGATATTGGCATTTTGGCCAACAGAGACAGCCAGCTCAACGACCATGTAGTAATTACGTATACCTAATCCTGACCACTGTAGAAAAAAGTGAGTTGTTTGCAAGCTCAGGCTCAACAGATCTATGGCGCGTTCCAGACCACTGCCCAAGCGATGCCACTGGTCGGGACAACTAGTACCCGTTGGTTATACCTCAGGTTTGTGTGGAGAGGGACTTCAGTCTTCGCAGCCAAACGCAGTTAATATGCCTTGATTGACGTTTCAGAAGTTGATGCAATCTTTGGAAC